CCGGTCCTGATCTGGTTTCACTGCCTAGATCGTAACCACAGACACCCTTCTGATGCAGAACTCATTTGGAAAATGCTGATGACTAATCTGGCTGCCGTCCCCCATCTTCCTCACATGAGTGTGGGCTGAACACTCGCCCCTGCCCCCATCCCACTCCTGTTAGTAATTTGCCAAAGGCTCCTGGCCACACGCCCCGCTGGCACGCTTCCCAGAGGGTCTCCACTACCAACCTTATTTTTCTTTAGTTTTTGAAAAACGTCTATTTGGGGTGTGTGTGTGTGTGTGTGTGTGTGTGTGTGTGTGTGTGTGTGTGTGTGTCTGCATGTGTGTGTGTTTGTGCCACAGCATGTAGGTTGAAGTCAGAGGACAACTTTTAAGAGCCAGTTCTCTCCTTTCCCAGTGTGGGTTCTGAGGGATCCAACTTGAGTTATCAGACTTAGCTGCATGCATCTTTTTTTTTTTTTAATGGTCTTTTTAAAAAAATTTTTATTGCTAAGAAATTTTCTGTTCATTTTACATACCAACTACAGGTACCCCTCTCCTCCCTCCCGCCCCCCAGCCTCCCCCCTCCACTCCTCATTCCCACCTCCTCCAAGGCAAGGACTCCCATGGGGAGTCAGCAGAGCCTGGCACACTCAGTTGAGGTAGGTCCCATTGCATGCATCTTTATTCACTGAGCTCAGCCATCTTTCTGGCCTTTAAAACCTTAACTGTTTGTTTGTTTGAGACTGTGTTTCGGGTAGCCTAGGCTGGCCTTCCTACCTCAATATCCAAGTGGTGGGATTATAAGCCAGCTCAGCTTTTTGGTATATATATATGGTTTGGGTTTTGGTGTTCAAGATAGGGTTTTTCTGTGTAGCCATGACAGTTCTGGAACTCTCTCTGTAGACTAGGCTGGCCTTGAACTCACAGAGATCCACCTGCCTCTGCCTCCCAAGTGCTAGGATTAAAGGCATGTGCCACCATACCCGGCTTTTTTATTTCTTTTAAGACATGGTCTTACTCTGTAGCCCAGACTGGCCTTGAGTTTGCTGTGATCCTCCTGCCTCTGCCACCTGAATGCTGGGCTCACAGTGTGTACCACTATGCTCAACTTCAATGGCCAACCTTCTAACTCCATCTGACACTTAGGCAGCAGGCAGATTCTAGATACAACTTCAAATAATAGACATGGAGTTGGGGTCCTCAAGACCCTTGTCCATTGTCATGACAAACAGGAACAGAGTTGGGACAGGTCTCCAAGTGGGAAAGAGTGGGAAAGGCCAGTCCTCTGGAAAGTGAGGGTGTCTATAACCATGTGGTGGTTGGCTTGTGTGAAGGCAGCAGGGCAAGCGATAGCTCCAGGTATGTTCTCCAACACGAGTCCTCTTAATCTGGAGAGACCTTCTGGGGCCACCAGCTGCTGACCCTAGATGGAGGGAGGCAAGAGATGGGAATGCCATCTGCTAGGGTGGCATCTTGATAGAGCCTGTTTCTGTGTCCAGACCAAAGCAGCCCTTTGGAAGAGTCCTTGATCTGCAGGCAAAGGCAGGTACAAGCCCCCTTTCCGGGGATTGATGAACTTTTCTGTTTCCAGGAATGGGGACTGGCACTTGACAGAAATGTACTCAAGGAACTGAAATAATAGCTCCCCAAATATCACAGTTGCTGGCCAGGAGTCAAGGAAGCAAGATGCTAGAGAAGTTGGCAACATGAGCTGCCTCTGGGGGTGGGTGGAGGGGGCTCAGGATGTGCTATTTGAAAATGTGGCAACAGGTTTGTAGTTCTTAAACCCGTTTGCTACAGTAAATCACAACGCATCAACTTGGCATTTTAACCATTTTTCTTTTTCTTTCTTTGAGACAAGGTTTCTCTGTGTAGCCCTGGATGTCCTGGAACTTGCTTTGTAGACCAGGGTGATCTCGAACTTAGAGACCTGCCTATCTCTGCCTCCTGAGACCTGGGGCTAAAGGCATGGACCACCACCCTCCACTATTTTAACCATTTTTAAGTAAGCAATTAAGGGACTTTCAAAATCCTCCTCCTCTTCCTTCTTCATTTTTGGAGGTAAGGTAGCCCAGGCTGGCCTCAAACTTGCAATTCTCCTGCCTCCTGAGAGCTGGGATGACTGGTTTGTGCTACCATGCCTAGCTCTAGAACCTTGTAAGTTCCCATTAACAGTTTCTTTCCTCCCCACACTCTACTCTGGCAGTCTTCTATTCTCCGTGTCTGAACTGACCTAATCTAGATACTTTTATAAAGTCAGGCATAATTCCAGCACTCAGAGGCAAAAGCAGGCAGATCTCTCTGAGTTGGAGGCCGGTCTGGTCTACACAGCAAGTTTCAGGCTAGTCAAGGCTACATAGTGAGATCCTGTCTCAAAAAAAAAAAAGAGCTGGGCAGTGGTGATGCAAGTCTTTAATCCCAGCATTGGGGGTGGGGGCAGAGGCAGGTGGATCTTTATGAGTTCGAGGCCAGCCTGGGCTACAGAGTGAGTTCCAGGAAAGGTGCAAAGCTACACAGAGAAACCCTGTCTTGAAAAAACAAAATAAATAAATAAATAAATAAATAAATAAATAAATAAATAAATAAATAAAATAAAACATGCCTAAATGGCACTGGATAGATACAGTTTGTCTAGTAGTCATTAACTGATGGATCTTTGGTCTGTTTCTACTTTTTGGATAATTTTGTTCTCAGCACTCAAATTCCAAGTTCTGCTTGAAAACTGGTTTTTGAAGACTCAAAAACCAACCAAACAATCAAAAACAAAACAAACAAACACAAACCCCTGGAATCACACACTATTTATCCTTTGTGGCGGACGCCCATCAATTGGCTCAGTGTTTTCCAGATGTTTAGTTTGCAGTGGTGCCATAACTGGGTTCCCTGCTATAACCCGGTAATATTCAACTGCATGACGGCTCATGTTTGCCCACCCATTCACCCACTGATAGACACTTGGGTGTTTCTGCATAGAATTAACATTCCAGTATAGACAAGTAGGGATGACTGGATCGACTCTCAGACAAAGCGAAATCCCTAGCGGCAGAGCTGAATCCCTCTGTCTACTCTGGCCCTGTTCCATCCTCCCCACCTAGGAGACCATTCCTACCTAGCACTGTATAAACTGCGGCACGGCACACGGGCAATCCTACACACCGGCAATCCCACACACCTCTTAGTGGCTGTAGGAAGATGAGAGAGAGGTTCGATACCCTTGGCTCCCTAGCAAGTTCGAAGCCATGTCTAAAGAAAGAGGAAGAGGGAGAGGGAGAAAAGTGATACAGAGGTGATAGGGCTGCTGACCAGACAGGCTCTTCCTGGTCCTGCCTGCTCCACCTCTCCCTGTTGGCAGGCAGCAAGTAAGAAAGTTCCGATACTAAGGATCTGGTCCATTTTATTTGGCCTAGGTAACACATGTATGTGACTGACTATGACACCAAAGGGTAGGAGGCTTGCATGCAGGCTGAGGCGGCATGCTGGTTGCATGTGAGGGTGGCACCCTTGTTCCAATGGTAACACAGTCTCTTACAATGCAGGGAGTCTTTAGCTGCTCTGTAACTGCTACAGAGAACAACACTGTAGGATACATTTTAGTTTCTTTGACAGTTCTTGTGCTTCTGCCTTTAGGGTTTTTTTCACCTTTTGCTACTTTGACAGTCGTGAGACACAAACATTTCAGTTCTACAGTGCAGGCTCCACCTTCCTGATGCTGCCTCCCTTTAATACAGTTCCTCATGGTGTGGTGACCTCCAACCACAAAATTATTTCATTGCTACTTCATAACTGTAATTTTGCTACCGTTATGAATTGTAATGTAAATATCTGATATGAAGAATATATGATATGCAACCCATGTGAAAAGGTCCTTCGACCCCCCAAAGGGGTCGCGACTGATAGGTTTAGAATTGCTACTCTAGAAGAAGGCTTGAATGGATTTCAGAACCTTTCCCATGTCTCGGCAGCACTAGCACTCGCCCTTCAGAGCCAGACCAGAGGGGAGTGTTGGAGACAATGTAAATGTTTGAACACTAGCCGTCCAGGGAAAGCCTGCGTTGCTGCTGGGTTTGGAGAACTGAAGATTCCAAAGTGGTGACTGGTTGACTTTAGCCCGCTGGTGCCTTGAGGCTCAATGGTGGTCACACCATCTCTCCTGGTCCCTAAGCCTCTGCTCCTAACTCCACTTATTCCCCAGTACAGCTGAGTCTGGGCGTGCTGAACTTGGGGTCGCTTGTACAATCATGGGCCTTTCCCCCTTCTTTCCTGTTCGCCTTAATACGGAAGACTGAGCCAAACCAAGACGGCTTGGGTGAGGTACCCGGCACGTGCAGGACCCAGACCTGGTCCGGGCACCAAGGGGACAGCAGGTGCTCTGGCAGCATTTGGTACCATCTATAGCACACTGATTAAGGCCAAACCACCCAGTGGGGCAGGTATGACTGGAAGCAGTCCCAAAGCCCCACTCCAGACCACAGTGCGATGCAGCTGTCTGGTGCCACGGCAGTAGTGTCTCTCCACCCCAACCACCAAGTCCTGGCCAGCGTGGCCGCCGCTGCCACAGTGGAGAACTTGAAACAACAGACAACCCTCAGGGGGCGCTGCGCCCTCGCGACTTGGGGAGCAAAGCGCAAAGTTACTCGAGCTACGAGGGGCGCAGTTGCGCTGGGTGCTACAGAGGGTCAGGGGAGTCAGGCCTTGGAAGTCTTTTTGTATTGCCCCAACCCCGGGTCCCAGGCTCCGGTTATCCCGGGGAGAAGCGCCCCCCAACCCCGGCACGGTGCGAGTGACCGCACTGGGCTGCAGGGGGGTCTTCGGAGACGAGCGGATCGGGGTCTCCGGCTCACCGGCACCAATCGGGCCGGGGGGCAGGGGGGGCCGGCGCGCGCGCGGACTGCGCTGGGCAGCGAGGGGTGCCTGGGCGCGCCAGGCCGTCGAGGGAAGCGCGGAGGCGGGCACTCCGGAGAGGGCGGGGGCCGAGCTTATAAAGGCCCGCAGGCGGGCGCAGGGAGAGAGCCGCCGAGTCGCCGTCCGGCCCAGCTCGGCCCTGCGAGAGGCGCCCGGAGTTCCGCCCGGGGCGGGCTGACACCTCAGCGCGCGCGGGCTCCGGCCGTCGGTACCAGAGGGCGCGGCCGGCCCGGGTCCCGGCCAGAGGACGAGGCCCGCGGGAGGTCCTAGCAGCGGCGCGCCCCACGTGTGGAGACCCGCCCCGAGTGCCATGGCGCGTGGTTCCTCCGGCCCCCGCATCTGCCCTTAGCTACGGCGGGGCGACCCCGGGCGGTCCCCGGGCCTCGGGGCATGGAGCCGCACGTGCTGGGCGCCGGGCTCTACTGGCTGTTGCTGCCCTGCACGCTCCTGGCGGGTGAGTGGAGGGCGCGGGCCGGAAGGCTGCGGCCGGGGCGGGGGGCCCCCTGCGCTGCACCGCCGGGCCCCGCGAGGGTGCGCGCGGGCGAGCATGGGCGAGGCGATTCCCCGGGACTCGCGGCCCAGGGCGACCGCATTCCTGGGGCGTGAGCGCGCAGGCGACCTCGGCGGGCCCGGCCCGGGCAACCGGGTGGAATCGCGGCCGGCAGCGGCGGGGCGCGGGTCCCCGAGCGCCCCAGATAGCGTTGGGCGTTTCCGCGCGGGCTAGGAGGAGAGGCCCAGGCCAGGGGCTGTTCGCGTCTGAGCGTGAGGGGAGCGCGAATTTCTAGTCTCTTTCGTGTTTAAAAAAAGAAAGAAAGAAAGAAAGAAAGAAAAAAAAAAAGTCAAACTTGCATCACCACTTCCTGACCAATCTGGGAGAAGGCGACGTTCTGCCTGGAGCTTTTCAAGTCAGACTTTTCCTACCCAAACTGACAATGTTCCAGCCCTAGGCGCAGTCCCCAGTGTTCTTAGTCCCCAGTTCCGAGGCTGTCTGCCCTATGCCTTGGGAAAAGCTCCTGTCTTTCTCATGCCCTACTTGGTTACCTTCCAGAGGGACTGGGACACAGGGCACCCCAGAAGTCTCTGGCCTGGTGTCAGAACTGGAGATCCCCAACCGTGGCATGTGTCCCTTGCTTGCAAAGAGCTGCTCTCCTTCTGTGTCATAGGTGCTGGGCTCCTCTGCAGCTCTCCCAGCCTCACCCAGGGCACCGTGCCCAACTGTTCAAACCCCCCCCCCCACCTTTTGGAGCAGTCACACACACACACCCCCCGAACATGTGACCTTCTCCATGCTCAGATTAAGTTAGCCCACAGAGAGATGGCGCGGTTTGCGTTGTGAAAGTTTATCAGCCTATGTGAAATCCATCTGTTGGAGGTGGGGGGATTGTGTTTGATCCCCTCAGTTCCTCCAGGGACACCAGTGCTTGCTCACCCTGTTTTAGGTAGATGTCGTAGGAACAGGCTCCTGGGGTGTCAGGCATCCTGGGCAAACCGTACTGTGACTTCCAGACAGGCTGAGTTTTGATTTGTAGCACCAAAATGTGGTGAGACATGGGGGAAAATTTTCAAGGCAGGAATCAATGAAAACCATTGAGCTTGGAAAGGAGGGGCCAGGGGACACTGTCCTCAGCTCAGCCAGGACTCGGGAGAGCCAAGGTCCAGGCAGGGCCCACATGGGTGGCTTGTTTTCCTCACTGGCCTGTAGACTATAAAAATAAGCTGAATGGGTGGAGGACAGTGTAGAAGACAGGTACCCTTCTTAAGGGGATAGCCCCAACAGGAGCTGTTTCTCAGGACACCTGAGGCTGTCTGTCAGTGCTTGGGGACATGAAAAGCAGGGCAGGGAATAGGTGGGCTTGGGTGGGAAGAAAGGTTTCGTCTTCATCAAAGAGGTCCTCTTCCACAGACAGGGTCCTTCTTTTTTTTTTTTTTTTTTTTGGTTTTTTCAAGACAGGGTTTCTCTGTGTAGCTTTGCGCCTTTCCTGGAACTCACTTGGTAGTCCAGGCTGGCCTCGAACTCACAGAGATCCACCTGCCTCTGCCTCCCGAGTGCTGGGATTAAAGGCGTGCGCCACCACCGCCCGGCTGACAGGGCCCTTCTTAAACAAAGTTGGCAGAGTTTTCTCTGACAGACCAGATGGTGAATGTTTTCACATCATGAAATACTCTGATATTTTTTTCCAGCCATTAAAAAATGTACAAACCATTCTTAGCGCATGGGCAGTACTGAAATCGACTGTGAGCTCCGGTCCAGCCTGCAGCCAGCGACCCCTGAGGATCAGTCAGGGCCCTAGCTTTTCAGTGGCAGTGTGTGGGTGGCAGGGGAAGCTTCCAGTCTGAGTCTGGTTAGGATGTGAACGAGGCTTTGCCAGCTCAGGGGGTTCCCACCCAGGCTGTGTGTTAGTCACCTAGGGAGCTTTCAAAAGAATATTGATGACTAACACTCCTGTCTTTCCTTAGGCCCAAACTGTCCCCCCAATAAAGTTCATTCATGAGAACATACCCAGGCACAGGCCACACCTACCCTGACTCTGAGCCTGGGTGTGGGCTTGGCCATTAACACTTTTCTTTATGCCTGGGGGGTGGGGGGGAGTGGGGGGTGGGGGGAGGTGGGCAGGGGACACAGAGTCAGCCAAGAGCACTGCATGGTGCCACAGGAGATGATGGCATTCTGTTCATTGATATGGGGCGTAGCCGTCTCTGAGGGACCTCGTGCTGGAGGTGGGACATTCACTCCATCCCTTGTGCGGGCTCCCTCCACCCTCTGAACAGTTTGAATCCTGTGTTTTGGAAATCAGGCTTTGGCGGGTTAGTCACCCTGTGTGCTGGGTGCTGGCTCAGGCCTTGCAGAGGTTTGAGTCACCCTGGAGTGTTCAACCCCCCTGTTCCTCCCCTAACAGGATGACAACCTGAAAAGCCAGGTGATGCCCCAGCCTCAAGGGAACAGTGGCCAGCTCAGGCAGACTTACCCGGTGACCTGGAGACCTAGGGATCCAGGGCCCAGGGATGGAAGCTTCCAGAGAGGTCTAGGAGAGGTGTTTTGTGTTTGGGAGAGAAAGGACCAGGTCTCCTGACTCTTGGCCTCACAGGGGAGCCAGGAACTTAAATACCAAGCAAGAGCCAGGTAGTAAGAAAGCTCACTGAGGTTGCCAATGAGAAAGACCTGTGGTGAAACAACATGGTCTCTGCTCTCAGGGTCCAGCACATGGCACCCGCCATAGCATGGGGGGAATTGTCACATCCATGACAGAGTGGCACCTGGGCTTGAGTGATGTCTCTGAGAAGTATCACTGTTTACAGTGGGCATATGCCTTTCTTCTCAGAATATTTTCATTGTCACCATTTAACTGTCCACTGTGGGGACGTATCTGGCTTGCCCAGCACACACACCTCAGACAGGAACTGGTCAGTCCTCACTCAGTGGTCAGTTCTGTTGCTGAAACTCAGGGCCAGAAAGGGCAGTAAGATGGCAGAGAACCGAGCCTTCCCCACTACTGGTGCTGCAGGCTTGGTAGCCACAGAATGGGTGAGGTCCCACTTCCCCCTGCAGCATTGTGGGGGACTCCCTGCTGAGCCTTGGCAACTGGGCCTGGCAGAGGGGTGGGCCCCTGCCTCCGTGCTGGGTCTGGGAGGGAATGAGTAAGCAGGATAGGTCCCAGTATGTTTAGGGGAGGAGCTGGGGACCCGCTGAGAACTGAGAGAAGACCACACGTCAGACCATCCAGATCATCGGCTTCTTGCAGGTGGTCCCTGGCAGTCAGGGGGAGGGTCCTGCAGAGGAAGTGACCTCGCTGGGGTAGGCAGAGTGCTAGCTTCTGATCCTGGCCCCGGGCTGTTTCCTGGGCGGTGTCTCTGCCTGCATGTACTGACAGTTCTGAGTTTGCTTTCTTACTGTCGGAGTTGGGGAGGGCAGGGCGCCATGTGATCTGCCGCCTCGCAGCTCTGGGTCTCCTTTCAGTTCTGTTACCTATTTTAGAAATGTGTAATTAGATGTGTACTTCATCATATACATTTCTTCTTGTGACTAAAGCTCAGCTTCCACGCCTGCCCTCTATCGCACCATTGGCTTTTGGACTCCATGTCAGAATGCAGCTATTTAGGATTAGGATAGATGAATGGAACTGATTTGCAGGCCCGAGAGCATATGGATGGGAAGGGACAACCCCGACATGAAGCTTCCTCTGCCCTCTTTGCTGGCAGGTACCTGTTTAAGGTCGCTGGGAGGACAAAGGGAGTCTGCTGGAGCATGTGCCGAGGGTGGAGGAGTCTGGGTGAAAGACAGCAGATAGCAGCCCGTGCCTTCGTCTCGCTCTGAACTTGCCTGGCCTTTAACCTCTTTCTAGGCTTCATCTCTCCTGTAAATGGAGCTATAAAAGTTTTAAGACCACTTCCAGACTCTGATCTCTGGTCCCTGGGCTGTGACTCGCACACCCAGGCTGGGGAGGTGGATGGGTCAGCTGCCTTTGGAGGAAGGCCAGTCCTTCATCCGGCGCTTTCCTCCTTGGTCTTGGTGGCTAGGGGCCCCAGAGTGCTTTCCCATGTGTGCTGTGCAAGGCCAGTCATTGGCCATCAGTGGCTAGGTCAGGTCTCCCGGGAGCTAAGTAGAATGGGGCTTCCCACTACCGGCTTCCCTTCAGCACAGATGATGCTTCTTAGGAAAAGTAGACACTGGTGCCCTCACTTTCCATGCATAGGACCTGTCCCCAAGGGGGTCTACAGCCCTGTTCCCTGCATGGGACACCAAACCGCACACTCAGATAGCGTGCAGCTTCCTGAACCCTCTGAGTTCATTCATGCGTCCTCTCATCTAGGTCTTGTGGGACAAAGTACTGGGTAGCAGCCAAGAGCCAAGTTCTGGTTCCAGGCCAGTGGTGCCTGGGCATTGGGGTGGGGGTGGGGGACGGGACTGATGAATGTGGTAGAGGTAAGAGTGCTCACTTCTTCCTGACCAGGCCTGAGGGCACTGTGAGCCCCTGCAGCTGTTCATAGGTAGAGCAAGGCTCAAAGGCAGCAGTTACACCTGCAAACAGTCTCCCTTAGCTCCCCTCAAAGGGGCTCTGTGATACCATCCAAAATGGTCTTTTCCAGGAATGGCATCCAAAACAGGTCCCCCAATAGTGCCATCCCAAAGGACTTCCTAATAATGATATTCCAAACAGGTCTCCCCAACAATCAATCCCTCTAAGTGGAGCACTCCAGAAGTGCCTTCCAAAGTGGTCTGCTTCCTCCTCTATCTGGACAGGGCAGTCTGAGGAAACCCATGAGCTGCAGGAAGAGGAGGGTATAGGATGGAGGGTTAGCTAGTCTGGAGGGAGACAGTAGGTAGCCAGGCTAGAGGATGAGGTCACTGTAACATTCCAGGGCCCTCTGCCTCCTTAGAAGGAGACCAGCTAGGGCCTGGTGGGTGGTGAGCTGCTAGAGTCAGTGGTACTGGGGCTGGGTAGGGCCAGAAGAACC